AGTATGCGGTTTCGAACGCAGCCAGAGTAAACAGTGATGAGTTTGGTGAACTGATGAACTTCACAGCCAATCACAGTCATTTCTGTTGAGCACATAAACACAATGGCAAATCCGAGATGTTCAAGAACACGTTCAACAGTGCTCAAATGTTAGCGGGAATTGGGCGCTTCTAAAATTTGCTATCAACTGGTACCAAATTCCAGTATCGTGACGATGGTGGCAATAAATCTACCTGCATTTTGTGGATCTGTTCTTAAATTTTTTATTTGGAATTAATTCTGAGCTTAGGTTTTAACTTTGTGTTCTAGGCTAGTTTTTAACTATCACTAACTCAAATGCTTTCAAACTCAAAAGTACTGTCAACTTAAGCAGGCCGCATTGCACCCCTAATTTGCATTGTTTTATGCATGTTGCTTAGCAACGCAAGCAGACACCAGTGTGCATACCCTCATAGAAAACAATGCTTGCAATTGTGAAAGACACTGCACTTCACATCCAGTGTGCAATATGCTTACTAAGAACACTCTGGTCACTAAAAAAAATCCCTAAGTTTATTAATGATTATTTTAAGCGATTTTAACTTCGCCTGTTTGTAAAGTATACAGTGCCATATGTTGATAAAAAATATATATAAGTTCAGAGTTGATTCAGTGTAAATCATAATGCTTTTGGAAAATCTGAGAATCCATGCAGTATCAATTCTTGATTCGCATAGCATCAATATGTTGTTCAATACTAACCATTGTGACCCATTTTTGTGTCTTCTCTTCCGTGTTGTCTGCACCTGACTCTCAGATTTGGATGAGATGTGGGCAAACACAGCATGCTTCCACTTGAGAGATACCACCAAGCTTAGACAGATAGCAAAAGAGAAAAAACTGATAGCATAGAGCCTCATCAGTGACCTTGCCGTAAGGTCATAATTAGCTGTAGTTCCTTCTGCAGATAGTGGTTAAACTGACTCAACATGAGTGATACGTCAGATGTCATATCAAAGAAACATGCCGCGGCTTGCTTTACAAGCTGCGTGGTTGGCCTGCTTATAGTGGGTGTGCTTTAGGATGTGTCTGCAGTGTGGACAATCTCACTGCAAGGCCTGTTTAATTCAGCACATGAGCTTTTTCATTACCCTCTACTTTAGCTGTCCGTTCTAATCGCCGGAGCAATTAGTAGCCCAATGCGGTGCATATGAGAGGGTGGAGGAAAAGATAATGTCAGGATCTCTGAGGATTCGTACCTCCACAGTGTAGTTATGATTATTTGTCCTCTAAATGATAAAGACATCATGCTCGGGAACAAGCACACTGTAGCTGAAGACAGCTGCTCAGTTCTCCAGGTGTCCATGTACGGAGTTGTTTGCCTCTGTATATTTGCACTTCTAATGAAGAGCTGGGTGGAGGACATTTATCAGGACAGAAACACGACCAAAGAGCAGGGATGAGTGAGTTGCCTTTGAGGTGCTTTTGTATCTGGCAGAAAGGCACTGTATCGTATTACAGAACACTCAATAGCTGTATCTAGTCTCTCTTGTCCATGTTCCTTTGCTTACCTGATTGCTGCTGGCTTTTGCATTGTAATTTTCCTAAATAAATGTAATGATATTACAGTCTTGTGATAAGGTACAGTCTTTTTATGATATTTAGCAGATTCCAATGTTGTTAGAAACACTACATGTAGTTTGATTTTAAATAAAGATTTCTGTTTTCATCCAAACCAATCCATTTATCCAAACCAGACCAGATCAGACCAGACCAAACCAAGCCATCCAAACCAATCTAAACCAAACCAGACCAGACCATTTCATTCGTTCGTTTTCTTGTCGGCTTAGTCCCTTTATTAATCTGGGGTCGCTATAGTGGAATGAACCGACAACTTATCCAGCAAGTTTTTACGCAGCGGATGCCCTTCCAGCCGCAACCGGAATGAACCGACAATTTATTAAGCAAAGTTTTACATAGCGGATGCCCTTCCAGCCGCAACCCATCCCTGGGAAACCAAACCAGACCAGACCAAACCAAACCATACCAAGTGATCCAAACCAATCTAATCCAAATCCAATTCAAACCAATTCAAACCAAACTTAATGAAACCAAACCAAACTATCCAATCCAAATCAAATCAAACCAAATCCTCCAGACCAAACCAAACCAAACCATCCAATCTAATCCAGAGTAGAGCAGACCAGCCCTCACCAAACCAGACCAGACCAAACCAAACCATCCAATAAAATCCAATCCAATCCAAATCATTCTATACAATCCAATTAAGACCAAAGCAAACCAAAGCAATCCAATCAAATCAAATCCAAATTATCCAGACCAAACCAATCCAAAACAAATTCATAACAAATCAAATCAAACCAATTCAAATCAT